ACCTGTTGCGACACGCTCCGCCCACCGCTCGATATCTTGTCTGCGTCGCTAACTTGATCTGCTATGCTCTCTCTACTAGCGCTCTCCGCGCTCACATTATCTCTCATCTCCCTGCCGGCCTTTCTTCGCAGCGTAGAGCAAAAGGCTCGTATTTCCTGTGTATTTCACGATTTTTTTCTTTTTTCTCCACTGGCGGTCCACTTCCTACCCCTACTTTCACATTTGAGTGGAATTACCTCATAATTTAATCCTGAATCTTGCCTTTAATCAGACTTCCAGATATGGACTGTACATTCCTTTCAACATAAACGCCGAATCGCCATATCGCTCCACTGCTAAATCGCATTCTATGAGCGGGACGCTAGCGGGTTTTGCGACACACGTGACCCATTATGCAATGTGTGAAGACGAGAAACACATTTTACAGTTTCGCAGATGTTCTCGAAAACTACGACAGGATATTGTCACAAATTGATGGGCTCCAGAGAGAAAGAAGGCAAAAAGCAACTCCGTTAGTGATTGAGGTGGTAATCTTACCATGGCAAAGTTTCTAATGGTTAATAGCTCTTTTATGCTCATTTCAAGTAAACCTGTTGGGAAGCTGATTGCTCAACATACAAACAATCGCGGTCATCGTTAAGACCATGACAAGAATGATGAAAGATGAATTCTAGAAAATGAACAAATAGCTGCCAAGCATGCTGAGTTCCCCAGCACTGAAAAGCACACACTTGGGGCGTCAATGCTGAACAAATGTGTGAAATCAATTCAAAGCAAACAAGAAGTCCGCCCGCGTGCGCCAAAACAACTAGCTGAAACATTCGGGATTCTATTTTTGAAATACTACACGATAACCAATCAATGAAGATCCCTATTGATACGAAACATGGGTCTATTCCAGGTAGGGGGCATCATGATGCAGCTTCTTGGCGAACTAGTGTGAACTCGAACAATCCAGCTTCTCACGCAGCTCGGAGTTACCCTAGCTTTCTGGAAAAACTGCATCTTGATGCCACCTCCCTAACTGGAATAGACCCCGAAACATCACCAGATCTAATTAAAATGTACGAAGATCTAGGTCTGAGCAAAAACGAACAAGTGCATTAGACAATAGCCAGAATGGAACCGAAAATTCGGGGCCAAGGTCAACCAACTTGCAGTTTGGCGCAGGTGTTACCCGTTGCCCTTTTGTAATTACGGTAACGCAGAAAAACCGCAATTGCAGAGAAGTTTCGTGATGGGACCAATACTGAATTTTCTCGAAGTGCAATTCGAGCACATCAGCTGATTAGCCTCCGTATCGCCATTCTCGGAAGGTTTATATCGTGAGGAGTTCTACTCTAAGGTCCTTGAAACTCACATTACTTTGTTGCCGCTTTCTTTCCGTAACTGGTTTCGTCGCCATGCAATCCATGGAAGTAACACTTTGGAGGTGGCGTTTACGCCGTTTGTACCGAGTCTTTTGTTTTCTATTCTAACTGTAAAGCGTGTAGTGCTAGCCTGTGCCATGCGAAGTGGGTTTTGTGCAGTCTGCATGTACAGCTGAACAGATGAAACAATATGTCGTTAGTACCTTTCCTATGTTCATGGCCACCTATAGCGGAATTGAGCGCCATGAACTATGGCAAAATGTGAGCCACGTTTATAGTCTGCGACTTCGGAGATTAGATTGTGCACGACAATGAGAAAGATATGTATTGACAGGGAGATTAGGAGGCAGAGCAGGCGAGTGCGCTGACAAGATTAGATACGTATTGATCGATTCGCTTGACGCCCAATCTGCTTCTGTCCGGGGATTCCAGTTGTAATCCGGGTGCTAACTTAGTTGGGGGGGGGGGCACGCGGCGGCGCGGCAGTCTGCTCGCCTGGCATGTTCGGAAATCCGTGGGCCAGGGGGAGTGTAGGCAGTCTAGGGGGTGGGGGTGGGGCAGTCACTTGACATGCGTGAAAAGCTGGAATGTTCGAGTTTACACTGTCTCGCTCGAGAGAGCCCAGGTGAGCAGACTGCCGCGCCGCCGCGTGCCCCCCCCCCCAACTAAGTTAGCACCGAAATCTGCTTTAGCGCGATATTGTACTGCGATGTACTCGTGAATATACCTATTGTGTACATCCTAGTCCCGCAAGTCGCGAACTATGAACGTGGACTTACTCGCCCAATCGCGCCTGATCGCACATGCAATCGCGAACTATGACCGCTGTCTTGAGCCATAGCTTTCAGGGGCTTCGAAATGATGTGAAAACAATTTTGAGTACCTCATCTTTACGCTTTACAGCCGTAGTTCGGTCGGGTTGAATTCCATTCTGAGATTTTGGATGTATCTAGATGAATGAGTTATGGAATGATGTACTATTCGTTGTGGATTTTCTAACAGCCGTGATATTTTTCTGTTCATGTAAATTACGGCACAACGTTGTGATTAATGAAGACTTTCTTTTCTTTGAATCATGCTTTCATAATATCCTCGTACCCATTTGGGAACTGTTACGCTCATAGCCAGGACCAAAATATGGGGCAGAAATTTACGAAAAGGGTTAGATACAAATCGAACGGTGCCGTATATCTCTCCGAGTTCGCTTGGTGAGCAACTTTAAGGACTTTTCCAGTTCTCCGATTC